CTTCCTCAAAGCTTCATGACAGGTCCTACTTTCTGCAGGACTGTGTTTTTGCATTTCTTTATATCCCTAGCAATTAGCACTGTGCCTAGCACATAGTAGGTGCTTAACAAATGCTTGTTGAAATGGCTGACTAGTGGATGAAATCAGGAAGACCTGGGTTCAAAATCTGCCCTGACATGAAATAATTCTGCAATCATAAAAAGCCATCTTACCTGAATGTGCCTCAGGCAAGAAGTCCCTAGTACTTAATTTATGTTATAGATGGATTGTTAATATGAAGGAATGGTGGAAGACGTTCCCATATGGGGAGTTCTCTCATGCTGACAAAACCCTTCATGAAAGATTCTCAGTAGTGTATGTCAATACTGCTACCCTTCTTTGGGAGCACCACAATAACAAACTATAGATTTTGCTACCAAGCTTCTCCTTCCTTATGAGAATCTTTTAAATTAGGCAGAGAGGTGGAACCAGGTGCTTAAATAGATAGCAGATTGCTAACAGAAACTGATGTCTGACCAAGTAAGATGTCTTTGGTGACATTACCGCTGCCAGCGCTGAAGATGATGTCTTTGGGAAAGTACATGCTATTGATTCTCTCAAGTTAACTCACCAACATAAGGTCAAAAAGTCTTGCCTGAAAACAAGACTTACAAATCTGGGATCTTCAGCATGATGTCATGTCTTAAAATGATAAGCCGGCAAAGAAAGTAAATGACATTCTGTAAAGATGCGCACCGTTTTCATGTTTACACTGCTTAAGATGAAGGTCCTAATAAGTCATCGGCTGTGTTCCTTTAAAGGGAAGTTTTATAACTGAGATGAATCACAACTGCAAAAGATCAAAGTGAAAAAACATCAATGATGCCATAGGGTACTTTTTAATCTTGTAATGAGTGATGATCGTGTGCTCTTATGAAGTTAGTCCAACTGCCAACGCCAGATGTGTGTATTAAGAAAAGGAGTTGTTTGTGAAGTGACAACACCGGTTCAGCGGCCAGAGACAGAAAACACAGAAAGATGAAGCCCTTCAGATTTCTGAATAAAAAGATCTCAGCAGAGGTGACAATAGGCCAGACCTCAGAGAGGGGGCATTGTTCAGCTGAAGTATGGCCAACTGCAGGGAATTTTGTCCTTGTTGTTTTGTTTTGTTATAACAGAATCATAATTAGCATCTGTTCTACCTTACTTTCCCCAGTCCATGTGGATGCAGGCTTAAGGCATTATTTATAATGCTGATTAGTGTCATTTACTAATGTGCAGAAATTGGAGCTGACGTCTCACTAGGAGAAACAAGCACTTGTGTAAAACCTGTAGTATGGGCAGTTTGCTTTACAGAGTTATTCATCTCTTAAAAGTGACATCCCATCAAGAGAATTTGAGGGCTTACTCTAAAGAAACCTCCAAAACAACAAGACATTTCACCTATCATATGCAGAACTGCTGATTAAAAAGAAAATCTATACCAACTAAAACCTAACTCTCCAATTCTCTACTTAAACAAAAGCTGGATGGAAGAGTTGGTAGGATGAGAGCAAGCCTTCAACAAATAGTCAAGCCATTTTAGGTAAGAGTGACGTTCCATTAACACTAAATTAGGAGAGCAAAATCCTCGGTTGGTTCAACCCATCGCAATAGACTAGTTTCTGTGGCAAAATTTTCCACTTAAAAAATAAAAATCCTACATTTTAAAAAAAATCTGAAATTTTCTTATTAGTAGACTCATTCTCTGGTTCTCTCTCAAGGAATTTCTTGTTAAAGGTTTTTCCACATTGTCTGCAAGAAAATACTACAAAATTAGACAATCTGAATTTTGGAGGGCTCCAGTCTACTTAATTTAACACTAGATGAACTCTCTCTAAAACAAAATATTGTTTAATTCATTGTATAAAAATGTAAATGACTCTCCATCTTAAGACACCTGAAGTCTTTGAAATCAAAGAGAGAAAGCAAAGGGAAAGCAGAATACCAAGCATGTTTGGTGTCCAGCAAAGCTAAGGCTGCTGGGAAAGGGAGGACAGAAAAGGATGGATGCAGTGTTGAGTAATCAAATTGGAAAAGCTGGTTCTGTTTAAGGTGCCTTCTGATATTGGAGTCACCTGGAAATTTGTTCTGAATTTGCTAGGTCTTCAATTTCCACTTCCTGCTCCCCTCCTGAAAAGTACTCCATGATATCATGAACACGACATCTAGTTACCCATAGACACCTCTTGGATTTCCACAAAATGTCATTCAGAAATGTTAGAGTAGGAGTTTAGTCAACAAAAGAGCTTTGGTACCTTAAACATAAGTTGATGCCAAAGTGACTGTTTCACACACCCAAACCTTAATTTCCCCAATAGAGTTTTTTCCAGTTTGAAAGTACTGGTATTCTTGATAAACATCAACTAATTTATTCCCACAATAAATTAGTACTATGGGTTTTAAAATTGGAAAGGGTGGCTGCTAGGTGGTCTACTTTGCCCCCTTCATTTCTATAAAGTAATGCTATTGTTCTTAGTTCACAGAGGAACTAAGTAAATTTCCCAGGGCAACAGAAGAATATTGAAAAGCAATCATTGTTAGTGGAACTGTTAACTGATACAACCATTTTGGAGAGCAATTTGTAATTATTCAATGAGTTATAAAACTATGTATACCCTCTGACCCAGCAATACCACTAGTAGGTCTATTTCCCAAGGTGATCAAGGAAAAAGGAAAAAAAAAAACGTATGTTCTAAAATATTTATAGCAGCTCTCTTTGTGGTAGCAAAGAATTGGAAATTGAAGGGATGCCTATCAATTGGAGAATGGCTGAATAAATTGTGATATATGATTGTGATGGAATACTAGTGTGCTATAAGAAATGATGAGCAACTTGATTTTTGAAATACATGAAAAGACTTGCTTGAAATAATGAAGAACGAAACGAGCAGAACCAAGAGAACATTGTATACAGTTGTATACAGTAACAGCATATTATTCAAAGAGTAAATGTGAATGACCAAGCTATTCTGAATTATATGAATATTCAAATCAACTACAAAGGACTTATGAAGGAAGATGTATCCACCTCCAGAGAAAGAAGTGATATACACAACTATGTATTTTATAGTTTCTCATAATATTTCTGTGTCAAGTGTTGGCTTTTTCTAGTGCAGACTGGGGAGGGAGGGAAAGGAACAGCTTTGAATTCAAATGTAACAAAAAATGTTTTTTAAAAAAGCAGTTACATAAAGATGACCTCCTGTGTCATTCCTCCTAAAGTGATTACTTCCTTCCCAGGTCACAGGATCTTCTCATCTTTTGTCATGTCTTCAAGGAAAACTGATTCCACTTGAAGGCATATCTATCTTTTCTTGTATTTGTCCTCTCAGTACTCCTAATTACCAACACATATGCACTCATACTTTATATTGTTTTCGCCAAAACCAAAACAGGAAGCCTCGGATCAGTAAGAAACGTATTTTAAAAAGATGTATGTTATTTAAGGAGAAATATTAAAATAACAAGTGCCCCACTTTATGCATATTACAAGTGAACTTCCCTGCCTCTTCAGGACTTCATGGGTTGGATAAAATGGGCAAATAGGCATTCTCCAACACAGGTGGTCATCCCTGCCTTCGAAATCAGGGAAAGCCCCAGGCCCATTCATATAAGAACCCGAAGCTATCCTTCATTCATCTAATGGGCTAACCTCCCTTATAAGTCTAACAACCTCAGGCTCTTACAGATGTGTGGGTCATCCACCTCTGAATAGGAGGATCCCAAGCTGAAAAGACAGAACTAGCACTGACCCAACTTTGTGAACTTGGAAGGACGCCATGCACATGAAAGGAGGAGAAAAACAAAAACCTCAAAGACTCAGTTTTGAAGCAGGAAACCTCCCCAGCCCAGGCAGGCAGACAGCCTTCATGAAGAGAGACAGCAGCCATAGGAGGAGAGGTATGTGGTTGTTCTCACTACTCATGGAGATGCTGTGTAGTCCTAGCAGAGATAAGACCTTGCAAGCCTTTGTCTCCCCATTGTAAGGGAAGAAAAGGTGGTCAATTTTTGCCATCTAGACAGGTGTGCGCTCTGTGTCAGATAATTCTTCCAACGGTACCTCTGCCACAAATTAAACACGTTAAGAGCAATGGCTCTGTCTCACATGTATTTACTCATCAAAGGCAGAGTGGTGAAAGTGATGCTTTCATTGACATGATTTTTAATGTGGTTTATACATCGAATAATCTTTAATCTCTAAATATATTTAAATACAGGTAGGTCAGATTTGTTCTAATCAGTTTGTCTGAGGATTTTTGAAAAATCTGCTCTAATTTAGATTGAGGCATATTGGTCTATGTGGAGTATATACATGATATAAAAATGATTGCTGGCTAAAGCTGCCGGATGCCCAGACAGACAAATAAACCAAGACAGATTAAACCAAGTCAGACTATATCTGTTAGCAGAAGCTATCTATAACAATTACTGGAACATGACCAAACAACTGTGTTGTAACAATCAAGCAAGTTATCATTTGCAAATAAATTTTTTATAATTAAGGAGTATGTTCTTTATAAAGGGAATGAGTGGGCGAATAGAAGAGTTAAAACACATTCTTAGGCCATGGGAAACATATACAAGTGCTTTCGACTGAGCCCAAGATTTTTTAACGGTTTGTTGTTTTCCACCTTGGGTCTTGTGGATCTAGTCTGTTCATTATTATGAAACAGACATATTGAAGTTCTTATAAAAGTGACTTCCAGCTAAAGAATGATTATGAATTCTCTTCCCAGTGTCTCAGATGCATTAGTTGTCTTGTGGCAAAGGATGGGTCTGTAATTTTATTTCCCACTAACTGGAAATTTTTTCTAACTGTTCCTCCACTGAAGTTAGATGGAAATAGTGTATTTGGTAAAGAAATCATACATCCAAAACTATGTTGCTGAGGATGAATTCAATATCCCCACTCAGGAGCATATATTTTCCACATATCTATCTGTACTATCACTGTATTTAACAGAAAGGCAAGTACTTACTTCTTGGTTCCCGAGGCCCATCTACTGTAACCTTAATAGCTCTGTGGTAGGTGGCAACTTGGGGGGGATTTGTGAAGACAGTTATTGTCAGGGTGAAACTCTTTCCTGCAGATGGAAAGACAGAATAATCCATAATAAATACAAGAAAGAAGCAATTGCAATTTTAATGCAGCTATGAAGGTTTTCAAAGTATAATTTCCCCATATCTGAAGAGACAGCATTATATGGTAAAAATAGCAGAATTTAGAATCAAAGGACCTTGGTCCCCAGGTCAGAATCCCAGCTCTTCCACATTAGGCTTAACCTCCCTTCCCCTCTGTTTCTTCATCTGTAAAATGAGGAGGTTGTACTACGTAGAGGACCTCTAAGTTCTGAAAAAACCTACAGTCTTATGATCTCTGATTGTGTGAAAATGTGGTCCCATAGTCCAAACCCAAGACAAAGCATTTCTAATTCTCAATTATAAACCCTCTCTCTACCTGCAGTTTTAAACAGTCACTAGACTTGTCTGTCAACATAACACCAGCCTCAGCATTAGACATGACTGCCTCGATCCACCATGCAACATTAAGAGTAAGGCAGTTCCAGGTTTTAAAAGTGCTGAGCAGTAGCAATAATGGTAATAAAAACAAAAGCCATAGTCCACTCTTGGAGTTTTCTCTTCCTTTCGGTTTTCTGTAACATCAGGAACACATCCAAACCCAGACAATTTTAGAAGCCTTTATTTAGGTTTGGGTCACAACCCTATGAAAGAACAATAGTAAATCATTGTTGATTATGTTATTTACTTCACATGGCTTTAACATTTCATTTGCTTAACTGCACTACAATAAGAAGATGAAAGAGTCAAGTTCTTATGGGAATCATTTTAACAGGGAGCTAGTGTCTCCTGTCCTGGCCTTAATGTGCCTGTGGTATGATGATGATTTCATCATTACTGGAACAAAGTTTTCCTCCACCCCCAATTCCAACCCCCCCCTTACATATGTCCCCACTATTGAGTCTTGAAACAATTCTCTGACAGTGGTTTATTGTGTGCCAGATAAATGTGGCATCCCCCAAACATACATTTGAATTTTAACTTTTCGGAGGGGGCCCCCACACTTCGTTGAAATATCACAACTGATGATTCAGATTCCTGAGCAGAAGGTGATGAAAAGGAGGAAAGAAAAGACAGGGGAAATTGCGATATGAGCTTTGAATGTATGTTCTCCCCATAAGAAGACACCAGCCTCTGTTATGCAGACTCACTGACAGTTGTAATCTGTTAGATATGCAACGGTTAGTAATGTCAGATAGTCAAAACTGCAAACTGTTACAAGACAGGAAAGGGTAGGCGTATAAGAGTGACTCAATAAAACATTCAGCAATCTGAGGCCTTGCTGCCCACTGAGATGGCTCCTGGACCAGAACCTTTTAAAAAGCTTTTTTTTTCTGACCAGTGACTCTTTCTCTTCATTGAGCTCTGAGAGCATTAAATCAAAACACAAATCTTAAACAATATGTAGCAATGCAAAACTTAATGCAATCTTTTCAAAGCCTAATATGGAACAGGTTATACATAAGGCTTAATGCAGAACAGGTCTTTGGCTGTCAAGTCTAGTGACTGGGTTTTCTTTTCAAACCAGGCCGTGGAGGTTCCTAAAATCTGTTTAAGGCACACATCATTTGTTACTGAGCATGTGGCTTTAGGTCTCCTAGGCTATATTTTTCCAATGGCCAAGAAAATGAAGGAGAATATTCCTCAGGAATATTAAAGAATATTTTAAGAGGTGGAGAATCTTTCCTAAGTAGAGAAATGTGCTCCAGTTTAGTGTGTTTGAAATGAATAAAAGCAAAAATCTAGAGCAAGGTGATGAAGACACCTACTTTTAAAGTGTGTCCTTTAATACATCACATTTCAAGTGATTGTCAATTATGAAATATATGCTTTAAATAATCCAAATTATCTTTCTCCAAACTAAAGGCCAGTTGATATGGCTGAAGAGAAGAATAGGACAGGAAGAGATCAGAGATAACCTAAAATACATATAAATTTCCTTTATGTTCAATGTTTAAAATTTTGAAATTGAGAAGTTGAATGAAAGGATTGAGATTATTCCTCCAATATAGAAAAATCCATATGGATCCGGATCTCTGAGATAAAACTGATTTTATCTGGTAAAAATAGATTTAGAGCTGAAAAGGCTTCAGTGGTCCAGCCTGATCCTGACATTTTACTCATGAGGAAAGAGAGAAGTTAGGTTATTTGTCTGATGTCACAAGAAGTAAGGGAGCTAGGTTGTAAACCCAGCCTTTTGACTTCAAATCCAGAAATATTTATACTTCACCATCCAGGTGGATCAGGTCTACAATTTCTAAACATTAGCAATATCTGATGACTTCTGGAGAAAGATAGTATTTGTTTCCATAGCATTGATCTCAAAAGTCTACAGACACACAACTGGGCACATACTCTAAAGAGATAAAAGCCAGAAAGAAAGGCTTTATTTAGAAACAGAAAGAATATTACAAAATATTCATGGCAAAAAACTGGAAATAGATGCTATTGATTGGGGAATAGCTGAACAAAGTATTGTGTTATATACACATAATGGAATATTATTGTCCTGGAAAAAATGACAAATATGAGCAACTCAGCTAAACATGGGGATGACTTATATGAAGTGATGCAAAGTAAGGAGACCCAAATGAAGATCATAGACAATGTTTACAAGAATGTCAATGAAAATAATACTAAAAGGAAGTGGAGTCTGAGTAATCACAGTAACCAGATTTGATCCTGGAGGGCAGATAACAAAATTGACTTCCATCCTTTAAAGAGGTGTAGTAGTAGTAGTAGTAGTAGTAGTAGTAGTAGTAGTAGTAGTAATAGTAGTAGTAGTAGTAGTAGTAGTAGTAGTAACAACAGTAGCAACTGCAACATGTATATAATGCTTTAAGGTTTGCAAAGCACTTTACAAATATCATCTCATTTGATCTTTACAACAAACTTGGTAGATAGGTGCTATTATTACCCTTGTTTTATAAATGAAGAAACAGAGGAAGGCAGAGGTCAAGTGACTTGCCAAAGGTAATAAAAATAAGTGTCTAAAGCTGTATTTGAACACAAGTCTTCCTGATTTCAGGTCCAGCACTCTATCCCCTGTGCCACCTAGAGAAGGTGGGGGTGGAGAGAGGATTTATAGGTGCAGACTGTCGAATATACTAAACAAATATGGTCACTCAGTTGTGATAATTATTCTTTTTTCTTTTTTGCAAGGAGGGGGAGTGGGGAATTTTTTTTTTTTTGCAACATGGGGTGGGTGTGGGTGGGGAATTTATCCAAAAATGACTGTCATGTGAAAACAAAAGGCACAGATAAAACATTTTTAAAAGGCTCAGGACGTGCCCCCAAGTAATCTTAGATTTTATTATTAACTGATTATAGGCATCAACTACAAACTTAGCTAAGCTTGTTTTGGACCTATTTATATTTTGAAACCTTATGATTTCATTTTAAGGTTGAAAAGTATTATTTTTCCCCTAATTCAAAGGCAACATTCTATGCAAAAGAGAATCTGCACCATTCCAGACATTTACTCTACAATTTAAAAACTAATACAAATTTTCATAGTGGAACCTTTTTCCTATAATGCCCCAATTTATCCTTCTCAAATAAAGATGTGGGTAGTGGTTCTGGGGAAGAAACGAGCATTTAAATTACAACTGTTCCAAAATCAAATCCCAAAGAACAAGATGTGCTTAACATTTAATTTTTTTTAACAGAGATTCCTCCCACTCTTTGCTGTTCTTTTGAAAAGAGATGTAGGTAATACCAAAGACAAAATCAGGGAACGTCAACCAACATAGAAATTAACACTCTACTTCAAAATAATGGCCAATTCATAAGTTATATCTTTATGTTGATATTTATGCTTTCCTCAAATAAAGCCTGGATATCTTTTATCAACCAAAAGAAGTATCTTTTCCTCACATCCTTTTTTATTAGCCTTTGACATACTCTTAAAAATATATGTTCTTTACTTTTGAAAACTAACAACTAAATTTAGTGCTGATTCACTAATTTCATCAGCCAGAAACTTATCTGGGGGTTACTTCTGAACTACATCCTCAAGTCCTATATTTTCAGTTGTAACCACAGGAGACTAACATTGACAGACAATCATTATGGTAGCCTGAGGGACTGTCAAGCATAACAGGGAGGGAATGCTGTTTTAGTACAGGAAATGCCCTTCTATTTTGGTTCTGTTCTCTCTTAGACTAATACGGTGTTTTATATACATATAGTAGGTTCTTTAAAAATGTTTATTGACTTGAATTTAAAGTTGTGTTTGACATGAAAAAGAGCATGAATTTTGTTAGGGCTTTTTTAAAGCCAAGTAATCACTGGTCTTTTGAAAATGTAAAGGCAGAAAAAGGAACACGCAAAGAGTGACCAGTAATGACTGGAGAAGGCTAATATCAAATGCATCTTGGCAGAGATGCTGGATGCACTCGACTACCACAGAATGAGGCAAACATTTTCTGACACAACCAAAGTGTTGATTGGTATTGCTTAATTAAATGTAATTGTTATGAAGCAATGGATAGTAACTACAAGTGGTTAATGACAGAGAAAGAAAGGGAGGGAGGAAGGAAGGAAGGGAGGGAGGAAGGAAGGAAGGAAGGAAGGAAGAGAGGAAGGAAGGGAGGAAGGGGAGGGAGAGGGGGAGGGAGGGAAGGAGGGAGGAAGAAGGGAGTAGCAACAATAAACTGTTTAAAATACACAGAAGAAAACAAAAAGAAATTCAGAAGGAGACAGAGTAATTTTGTTACTACCCTCTTAAATTTAGGTACACCTAAAAATAATTGTACTAACAAGTTCAAAGTTTCATATACAATCCTCTTTTGTTGTTCTTGGAATATCGAAATGTTCACATTTGATGAGTTCATGATGAAAAAAGAAAAATGTTTAAAAGAAAAGGAAAGCATAGTCTAAAACTATGTGCAGTTCTCAACCACAGGTGTATAAGAGAGGTTTCACTGAAGCCATTATCTAACCAATATTTGATTGCAAAACAAGTCCAAAAGTGTTAGGCATCAGTGGAGTTTTGCATGGCCAAATTATAATAGTTACACGACTCTCTGTAATATGTTGTCATGAAGTAGATTTGGTTATCTTTCCCAAACTGAAGGAAAAATACAATATACCACTGGAAAATTCTGGCCATTTCTTCAAGAGCAGAGGAAAAAATATTATGCATGCATACATACATATGTATATATACATATACATATATGTACACACTTATATATACATATGGGTATACATATATACATATTGTGTGTATATATACATATATATATATATACACATATATGAAAGAATTGGAGGGGTATGGTGGTAGCAGGGTATTGATCTGGCCTTCACAACTTAAGAAAAATCTAAATCATAGGCTGATAGATCTAGAGATGGAAGGGACCTCAAAGGCCTTCTAGGACAGTTCCCTTATTTTAGAGATAAAGATGCAAGATTATCAAAGAGGAAACTGGAAAAAAAAAGTGCAATAAACCAGGTCAGGTACAAAGAGATACAGGTTAGAGAGTTTCCTGTCACTGAAAAACAACTTACTCATTTTAAAAACAATGTTTGATTCATGTTATCAATATTCTCTTGATGATTTTTTTTCTCCTGTTTGCTGTTAACTGTTTCCTTTAATACATTTTAGGTACTGATAGAATAATCTATTATTAGTGTTCTCTCTCTCTCTCTCTCTCTCTCTCTCTCTCTCTCTCGTAGAAGTCTCTAAGACAAGTCTGGACCAATTTCTCCATCCTGCCTCTGGCAGCAGACTGTAGCATTTCAGATCCTACACCAAGTCCCGGCTGCTTCAAAGGAAAAACCCTACTTTCTTCAGTTAAGATCATAAGAAATATAGGGGGAGGGGGTCAGCTCTGTTTGGACATAATTACACTTCATCAAAAGAAGCTTTCTTCATCTTCCATGCGTGAAAAGTCTGCAAGCAGTTAAGTCTGTCTTTTTTTTTTTTTAAATATAAAAATTGCTATTTGGGAAACCAGCCAAAACTCAGAAAGCCAATATAGTAAAACAGTGCACACCCTTTGTTTCTCTTTGAAGTTTCTTAAATAAATATGTTGAGGGTTTACAAAGTACACTATCACTTTGCCATAGTTTCTACTCAAATTGATCAGAGAAAAACTTATGCAGAGTCTATATGATACAAAAGCACTATAAATGAAAACACTAGTCTGAATATGAAAAGTAAAATAGAAATTGTGCTGATTCCTTAAATACTAAACTCCATTTCCTCTCTTTTAATAGAAAATAATATTTCACAGGACTCAAATGAGATTGAGAACACACAGGGAGTCCAGCATATTCTTCCCTGGGCTTATTAGAGAAAAGAAATACTGTACTGTACTTTTAATGTGAGGCTGTGCTAGTGACTGAGTCAAAGAGATTTTAAACCTAATCATTCAATAGAAAGATAGAACAGCTCTTTTTTTTTAAATGAAGTTAACTTAAACATGATGCAGAAATAACACCTTTTGCTTTGATTCAGTGGAGAGATCCAGCTTCATTTTATTTCAAACGACCTCTCTATGACAGTATCTCATTATCATGCATAATTGTTCTTAAAAAAAAAAGTTTAAAAGTACAACTTCTTGGCCTTGTTCCTAGAAAGTAAACTAAAACTACTCATCGGAAACAGCCCTTCTTGAATCTCCCTTATCAAGCTTTTACAATAGTAATAATATGACATCTGATCCAAACTTAAGAGCAGTCAGTTTGGACTTTGTTTAAAAACTGGAGCCTCTCATTTCCTATGACCCACTATTCTGTTCCGGCTATTCCAGAAGAGAATTTGCATTTTTTTAACTGAATTTGCAACACACAGTGGGATTAATTTTTCTTTCCTCATAAGAGGGCTTAAAATTGAAATATTTGTTTAAATAAACAAATAAATACATTAAGTCTAGTAGGGAGATGATATATAGGATTGTCTCAGGAGAATCCTGTGAAAACTGAAGAATTGGTTTCCTTAGAGACATCCTTTCCATCATTAACTCCAATTATGAAGCAGCTGCAAAAAGGCTAAAAGGAAATTATTTTTTGTTTACCATCTTTTAAAAGGCTTCCTACAATTTCAGTATAGATTTCAGATGAGAGGAAATCCTTAAATACCAAAGGGACATTCAAAGTCATGATCATTTATCAGGTTCACCAATTCCACAGTCATGCTGAAGTAAAGCAAGTCGATGCATTAAAAGTTTACACTCAATCCAATTTTCTAAAAAATCCTACTGCAAAAGCAAATGCCAGTCACCGATGGAAAGGGCAAGGCAAATGCGAAGAGACTGACCTAGAATGGGGCAATTAGGGTTTTGCACTCAAGATTTCAAATTTAGAAAATCCTAAAAATGCTTATAGGTGTAGAGCAGCAATAGGGCTTAGCACTTAGCAAGAAGAATAGGTTAAAAGCAGGAATCTACCAGATGGCCTGCTTCCCACTGCCACTCCACATCCAAGATGACCACTTTCCCATCTCTGACCTGCCTGCTTCTGTCTCCTTCCTAGTGGATTCCCCAGCTGTGGCTTCTCTGTGGCCCCAGGTTTCTACCCCTCCCCACAGTGGCTTCCAGGATTTTGGCTTCAAAAGTAGATTTAAGGGTTCATTTTGTGCTCCTTATCCTGAGGTACAGTTTGTGCTGCCCCAGGTATAAAAATTGCTAGTTATGTCTCTGCCTATGCATTCTTACTTTGAGAGTAAACAATGATCATGCTATTTTGCTGTCTCCATAGAACAGGGATTCTTAACCTGGGAAATGCAAACTTATTTTTTAAAAATGTTTTGATAACTATATTTCAGTATAATTGATTTCCTTATGTATTTTATTGTATTCATTTAAAAGCATTATTCTGAGAAGTCCATAGGCTTCACCAGATTACCAAAGGAGTTCATGATAATAAAAACACTAAGAACCTTTGTTGCAGAGTCATATTCCAACTCCAGATCTCAATCTATGATGCCATGACACTCACAATGAGTGAAGAATATAATGACAAATTCTGACAACTTAAGAGCAATTGGGCTTCCATCAAGAAACGAAAAATATATATTTCTCTTCCCCCTTTGCCACTCAATGAACTCCATTATCTGACTCCCTGTAACCCAGAACTTGAACCTATGAAAACTTCCTTCCTCTGTACCTCACCCTCATGTGCCCAACAAATTTAATAACAAGTTCCTCTGAAAAAAATATTCAAATTTTCAAACTTGTGAAACAAATCCAAAACATTAAAGGAGTCAAAAGAAAATAATAAATGTTACCTGGACTGAGTCTTCAAATAAAACATGAGCCACCCCTATTGGGGAAAAGAAGGCTGTTGCTTTATTTAAAAAAAAAGTTTATATGTATTTCATTTCAGGATTCTAGTGTTTTGATTCCATCACCACCACCACCATCACCATCACCATCATCATCATCATCATCATCATCACCACCACTACTACCATCATCATCATCATCATTACCATCATCATCACCACCATCACCATCATTACCATAGCTGATTTTATATGGTGCTTTAAGATTTGCAAAGTACTCTAACATAGCATACATTATCTTTTTAAAAGCCTCACCTCTTCCACTTCGGCCCACAAATCTCAGGTCATTGAATCTTGCTACTTGGTTTTTCATGACAGCAGATGCATTTCGGAGCTCAGCAGAATAATTTTCATCATTACCAGCCATGACGGTGACCACAGTCCCATCTGGTACTTCTCCTAGAGCCACCACCTACAAAAATTAGGAAATGACAACAACAAAAATAGTATATCAGGCAAGGTCTAAAATATGTGAGTCATTCTTCTTAACTGTAGGTTTTATCAAGAGCCTGTCGCTGCTGTGGCACAGTTGTGGCCAACTGTAATGAAGCCTGATACACCTAAGCAAAGATGCCACTTCAAATAAACCCATATTTCAGGGTTCCCCCATTTCAAAGTCGGACTAAAGGAAAGTTCCCTTCATTTCTCTGCAGAGTTCTTCAAAGAGGTGTGTATATTTTATTAAATCTCCATGCTTAAATCATCCTCATGCCACAGTAGGAAAGCTAGAGACCACATGAACAGGTTGTATGCCACTGGTGATCTGCAAGCCACAGAGGTTTGAGTTATGATCTAATTAGAGTCACTGGCTAAAGATATTCCAGCCTGTTCATCACTTAGCTGAAAGACACTCAGCTAAAACCATATGGTTTTGACTATAATCCCGGACACTTATTAGGTGATCAATCCATTTAAGCTACTTATTTTGGGTCGTTTCCTGATCTTTACATACAGTCAATAAAACAAAATCTTAGCAAGTACCCATGATAAGCACTACATTGTGCCAGGGGCTGAGGAAATATAAGACACAGTTGCTGCCCACAAGAAGCTAACAAGTCAAGTTGAACAGATAAAATGTAGAAACTTTAAAAGGTAACTAATAAAGTAAGGCAATAAGTGATAAGTGTAGGCAACTAGGTGGAACATTGAATAAAGCCTTGCACCTGCAGTCAGGGAGACCTGAGTTCAAATCCAGCTTCAGACACTTACTAGCTGTGTGACCCTGTTGCAACTGTTTGCCTCAGTTTCTTCATCTGTAAAGTGGGGATAATAATAGCACCTACCTCTCAAGGTTGTTGTGAGGAACAAATGAGATAATGATAATCATAAAGCACTTAGTACAGTGCCTGGCACACAGTATACACTATTAAATTTTAGCTATTATTATAAGCAGCAAGAGAGTGGTGTGGACAGTAAATATACCTCCAACAGCATTACCATCTGTTTGCTATCTTGGAGTGATTTTTGAGGGTTTTTTGTTCTTCAGCTTCCACAATTAGTCTGTGGATAATCACTCATGTTTGTAAACTCAGTAGAATCTATGACTCCTCCCTTTTCCTCGTCCTCCACATCCAGTCACCAAGTCCTGTCAATTCTCCCTCCACAGCATCTCTCATCTCTGCCCTCCTAGTCCTTCCCCTTCTATTCCCACTGTCAATAACCTAATTCAGGCCCATCACCATCATGCCTAGCTCATTCCAATAAATAGTCTCTTAACTACTATGTATCTACAGTCTTTCCACTCTTTATTCCGTCTTATGTACCAGTGCTAGATTAATCTTCTTTATTCACAACTCTGAGCACGAGTCAACAACATGAAAACATTAAATGACTCCCGCTAGCCCACTGAATAAAAACCAAACATGAGCCTAAAGTCAAGAATCTGGCCCTCCGACCAACCTATCCCCATCCTTATCTCACATTACAATTCATGTACTCTTTGTACCACCTAAATCAGACCTCTCATCACGCTTCAAATATCCAATATTCTTTAACCTCGCCTCTCCTCCTCTTCACTCACAGTATTCTCTATGCTAAGGATGCTTTTTCCCTTCCCCCAATCCTAACCATCTTTAAAGACCCAGCTCAGTTTCTACCTTTTCCATGAAGTTTTTCCTGATTTGCCCAGTGAAAAGGGATCTCTTTCTCCAATGAATGCTCATAATACTTTGTTTTTGCCTCTTTTGGATACTTCCTACATTCTCTTTTGTATTTTCCTTATTCCGGAAGACCTTATCGCTCCTATTAAATTTCTATACTTTGAAGGTAGGAATTAAGTCTTATTTATCTTTTTGTCTTCTTAAGTCCCTAGCAGACTAACTGGCACATAGTCTATTAAGGAATGATTACTGAATGAATACAGAAGAATGTTAATATGGCCAAATTCATGGATTCCATATGGGATCAGTTAGCTTTGCTCTGTTCTTTGACTATAGATTATACTCTTAATCCTAACTTTACAGATGTGAGTCCTTAGTCAAATGAGGGACACAGTGGATGGATCAGTGCTTATCCTCTAGATCAGGGATTCCTCCATGGACCACCTATCCATGAACAGATTTCAGAGGTTTCATTTTTAATATTTTGATAACTATTTCAATATAATCGATTCCTTTGTGCATAATCCCTATGTATTTTATTTTGTACATTTAAAAACATTATTCGGAGAAGGGGTCCATATGATTCAAAAAACTGCCAAAGGGGTCTATGACACAAAAAAAGGATAAGAACCCCTGCTTTGGACAGAATCAAAAGTATCTTGATCAAAAGTATCTTTTTTTTTAAAGACCACCTAATCCATTGCCAAGTCCTGCTACTTGGCAATATCACAGCTCCATCCATTTCTCTTAACTCATCCCTTAAAGTTCTTGTCCAGACTGTATTAACACATCCAGATTATTTCAATCTTTTCTTCAGAGGGCTTCCAGACTGTCTCATCGAAATCATCAGATATTCTTCTGCTAGATTATACACCAACATGTGCCATCTGTGGCATGAGTGCCTTGTGTGATAATTTACTCATGTAAATTGATTATGGATTTATTCAGATATATCCCTTGGCTCCCCATTGCCCAGAATAGATTCTGATCTAAAGGATTTAAGGCTCTAAAACATCCACCCTCTCTGGCTTCTTCCTTTTACCTGCACCCTTTACACTAGCCAGCAAAACCAATCTTACTTACTAACTCCAAAACTATTTGGCTGTTTTCACATTCACACAAACTACTCATCATGCTTGGAAGACCTTACTCTCTCTTTTTTAGTATTTTAGAATTCAAGCCATGATCTATATCCTCTTAAAACCTTCCCTTCACTAAGCTATAATCTTAAAATAACCCACTGACTTGAAATTATCCTCACTTCAATGTGCATAAATTAATGATTTCCATTCTCCTCTGAGAACCATGTAATTCGATTCAACAAATGTTTAATTAATCAATAAGCATGTATTTCTTGGGGGGAGGCACTCAGAGTTAAGTGATTTACCCAGGGTCACTCAGCCACTAAGTGTCTGAGGCCGGATTTGAACTCAGGTCCTCCTAACTCAAGGGCTGCTCCACCTTCCTATCCCTCAACAAGCCTCTGTTGAGCACCTTCTTTGCGCCAGGTACTCTACTACATAAATATAAAGACAAAAATGAAACAGAATTTTTCCTCAAAAAGCTTTCATTCTATTGGGGGAAACACCAAGCACAAAGAAAAGTAAGTGCAGGCTTTTTACAAAAGAAATAAAACATGATTTCAGTGGAAGAAATATTCACAGCTGGCACAAACCAGAAAAGACCTCCACAGGAGGTGATGCTGGAAGCTACAGATAATAATAGGCAGAGGTGAAAAGGGAGTGTACTCAGGCATGAGACCCAGTCTATACAAAGGCAGAGAGATGAGAGATTCAATGTTATATTTTGAGAACAGCAATTTGGTGAGTTTGGCTAAAATGTAGAGTGTATGAAGGGCAGTAATGTACAGTAACTCAGAAAAGGTAGGCAAACAGAGAAGACTGTATTTTAACCTAGATACAATAGAGCTAATTAATAGCTACAATATATAGCTTTGGGAGCAGGGAAGGGACATCTATATTTTAAATCCAAGTTTTAGGAACGCTGACTTGGTGTCTGTGTGCAAGATGGAATGTGGAGAGACTTGAAACAGGGAGACCAATATGAAGGTTACTGCAATAGTCTATGCAAGAGGTTATGAGAGCCTGAAGTGGGATTGAGGTTGGGAAGTGGAGGGGCCCATATAAATAGAAAGAAGGGAACAGGTGGAAGAGATGTTGTGCAACTAGAATCAAGAGAACTGATTAGAAATTTGGGGTGAGGAAGAATGAGGAGTTAGGAATGACTCTAAGATTTTGAACCTTGGTGACTAGAAGGATGGTGATACCCTCAAAAGAAATAGGGACATTTAGAAGAAGGGGGGGTGCGAAGAGAATAATGATGAGTCTTGATTAAGACATTCTGAGTCTGATGCCTATGCAGTTGGAAATGCACAAAAGTGATATATGTTTAGAACTCAGGAGAGAAATTAAAGATGGGTATGGGAGTCATCTCATGGAAATGATCATAGAATCCATGAGAGTCAATTAAATCAAGATTTCACCAAGAGATTAGTGATTTATTAAGCACCTATTGGGGACAAGATAATTTATTAAGCACTAGGGATACAAAGACAGAGATATGAAATGGGTCCTACTCTCAAGCATCTAATTGGTGATGAAGAAATTTAGATTTAAAGAAAAAATTGACTCAAAGTAGAAGGAAAAGCACACTGTATTTAGAATTGGAGAATCTGGAATTGAACCTCAGCTATTTACCATATGGGCCAGAGGTTACTTAGCCTCTCTAGAACTCAATGTCTTCAACTATAAAATGGGGGTGGAGTAGAAAAAACTCTCATCTCCCTTCCAGTTCTTAATCTTATGATCCTGTGAGATATTAATAGCTGATGATATTGCACAGTTTATGAGCAGGGGTTATTAGGAAAGGCTTCTTGAAAGATATGACTGTATAAGTTGTGCCTTGAAGGTGATGAGGATTTGGGGGGAGAGTGTCAGGAAGAGAAACATTTCAGGCATTGAAGGACAAAGACTGGGAGATGAGAGGCACAGGAGGGAAAAGTTGTACAAGTTCCAGAAGAACAATCTCTTTTCCATAGTCAATGAACACAACCAACGACTCCTCTTGGAGTGCTGCCAAGAACTATATAGTAAAGTATCAGAACCAGCTATGTCCTTCTTTTTTCTGGTGATCAACCCCTCATTGGAAGGCCATTGATGACATATTATTCTTTAATTTGTAGAGCATAGATTCATGAAGATTTTATTTACTTGCATTCTATGTGTGTTTTTATTATGTAAGAACATAAATTATGTCTGTATTTGTGTGACTTGATGCTCCACTAAACGATCTA